CATTTTTGAGGAAGGATAGACTTGCCAGTGAGGGAGTTCAATGGAAGTTCACCAGTTTAATCCCTGATCTTGTGAGGAGAGATTTATAAAACTGGATCTGTCTTGCCTAGAGTTTTGAAGAATGGTAGGTGATCTCATTGAAAATTATAAAATTCTTACAGGACATGACAGATGAACGGTGACTCTAAAACCATGAAACATAATCTGTTCATAAAATGTTGGCCATTTCTGAGTGAGATGGGGAGGAATTTCTTTACTCAGATGATGCTAAATCTTTGGAAATTTCTACTCCAGGGATTTGTGGAAACTCGATCATTGAATGGGTTAAAGAAAGAAGTAAATAGTTTTCTGGAAACGAAAGACAGTAAGGAATATGGCGATAGTGGCATCAAGGAGATGATCAGCCATGATCTAGAATGGCAGACCAGCCTCAATGGGCTGAATGGCCTACTTCTAACCCTATGTTCCTATAGAAAGTCCTCAAGTCATTTACATTTTGCTGCCTTTCAAAGATGTATCCAGATAACAAGTTGGTCACTGTCCGTACAGAAGCCACAAAAGAATTCATCAGACTCTCTGGGATCCATTTTGTTAAGGTAACGTCTGTGTTTCAAAATGCGGTTTAAGTTAAATATCCACCTTCCTCATATGTTGTGTGGATATACAATGCAAACTTTCTCACCTCAAGGAGAGAGATGATGCTCCCTTCCTCAGCCTAAATGGTAGATATGACCATCTCAGATAAAATCAAGCTTAGTTATTTCTCCTTGAACTTGAATGACAAAGTCATTACAAAATGTCTTGGCTTCAATGCCATGACAGTTACATAATAATAGACTAAAACCAAGGACTGTGGATGCTGGAAATCTGAAACAAAAACAAAAAATGCTAGAGAAAGTCAGTGAGTTTAGCAGCATAAATGACAAGAAAGCAGAATTAATGTTTTGGGTCCAGTGACCCTTCATTAGAAAAGCTTTGATTGCTACCTCTGACCAGAAGCTTATCTGTACCCGCCTTGTCATGGCTATGAAACAGGGAAGAATTTAGGTACGAAGCAATTTGGCTGACCACTCGATCCATCATTGACTTTCACAATCTGCAGTACTCAAGTCAGAAGTGTAATGATTTGCCAGGATTTTTCAATGGCCCAATAATATTTTTTGCAGGATAGATGGGAGTTGTTCAGGAGAACCGCGCGGAAACCTTGCAAGTAACTTCCAGGGAAATTGAAGATTTCCCCAGGCCATTCCACTTTCCCTGGAAACCTCTAAAAGAATCCATATAAACAAGAGAATTTGAAAGGTTCCAATGCAGTTAAGTAAATATTTACCAGGAAAAGTTAGATGATTAAATACCCAGCCGAACTCCTGAGTAACTATTAAACTTATGTTCTACTTACTTCCCCGCATGCACCCCCTCAAACAGCCCCACTAGATCCTGAACCGCCTTACTCGAGACCAAACAAACCTGCCTCACCATGGGACCAGAACCTCACTCTCTCCCACATACCAACCCCATTGCTTTTGACCACCTCTCCTGCAGGGAAGTTAAACCCCTTTCCTACATTCCAGACTTAAACCCCATTCTGGAATTGGGATCCCAGCCCCACAACAAAACTGGCATTCCCCAGACTACACCCCACACCAATGCTCACCTGGAACCGATACCTACTTACCCCCTCCCAGGACAAGACACGCAGCTGGTTTGTCATGGTCAAACCTCCTCCACTGTTGAACCAAATATCTTCCACCAACCTTGACCTACCCTTAAGTCCTCCACTTACCTGACCCTCTTGTCGCCTTGAATACTGATTCCTTACTTATCTGGCACCCTTCCTGCTCGACACTTTACCCCCAGCACTCTACTTCCTACTCTATTGACAGTTCTTGAAACTCTACTCCCGAACAGTGTGATACTGACTGACAGTCTACTCCCTACCCACGGGACACTGCTTGCCACTCTACTCTCTACCCATTTGGCACTGCCTTACACTTGACTTCCTACCCACTTGACATTGCCTGACAGTCTACCCAGTTGACACTACCTAATATGCTGCACTCTCCAGAATGGGTGAAGAATTGATAACATTCAAGAAACTTGAAACCATGCAGAATTCAGCACTTCATATATTACCAAGAGCCATGGGCATGACGTGTATTCATCAGAAGTTCCCTTCCTGTGAAACTGTGCAGTCATTTACTTGCTGAATTTAAAAATATGGGCATTTTAAAATATTTTATTTCCTTAAACAACATTAGAAAGTGCTAGAAACACAGAAGATTAGGCATGATCTAAGGAGAGTAACATTCAACTCTAAACTTTTAGTTTGAGTGAAATGTTTCCAGACCCTGAACTGGACAATGATGCCCAAGTTAGGAACATATGGCAAGTTCAGAAGAAATGAGATTCTCAACGTCAAGAAAATAAAGTCTGATTCTCCAATCACATTTTGAATGGTGAATCTCACTATGAGCAGTAAGGTGCCTGTTTGAATCCATTAGCATGCCATTGGTATCTAATCTCACCTCATTGATATGCAATCACCTATTCTCCCACACATCAGACAGAAACTAGACAACACTAATTCCTGACCTGATGGTCAGAGAGTGTGCCAAGCATCTCCAGTTCAATGCTTGGTATTCCAGGCCTCCAACGTCTCAGAGAAACCTTCCAGGGGTTATCGGGGACCATGGCTATGCTAAGAAAATTGATAGGAGGCAGTGTGCTAGGATGCAGAGGGGACAAAATTGATGGAGGGGAATGTTCAACATATGAGGGTGAGAGATGGTAATGCATTGGAGGGCATGGGTTACTGTATGAGAGAGGGGTAATTGACAGTCACCACCATTCAGTAGGGGAATAATGCAGCACAGAGTTGGCAGAGCTAAGTTGCAGAGCTGGGATTCAGCAGGTAATGATGGCAGATGAAAACATAAATGACACTGTCAAGTGGGAACATGTGGAAGCTCAGTACTGATGCCTGACCTGCTGAGTTTTTCCAGCATTTTTCTGCTTTGAGTTTTCTTTCGATTTCCAGCATCTAAAGTATTTTGCTTTAATTTTCTGTTCTAATTTTCAAGGATATTAGTAATGCAGCTGCAAGGATCATCAAAGTGGAGTGTGTCTAATATCTGAGAGGATGCAGGCAATTCAGCAAAATAGGTAGGCTAAATAGACAGAAATTTTAATTGTTGAACAAATCAGTGGAAAGGCAACTCACTTTGTACACCTTTGCACTTGAATGTTACCTCTCACTTAATCACAAACTGTTTGTGCCTGATCACATGAGATTCCACACACAACAGTTGTTGAAAGATATTGTCTGAATATGGCGGCATACGCAAAGATCAGCACAAGGTTGACTGTATGTGCTATGTCTGGGTTTATAGTTTTGTCATGTTGCAGTTTTATGTTGAAAATAGTAAGTGTCAGGATTTGTAGGGGTATTGAGTAATTACAGCGTTGGAATTCAACAAAGTTCAATTTGCAACTAAAACAGAAATTGTTGGAAAATCTCAGCTGGTCTGGCAGCATATGTGGAGAGAAATCGGGTTAACGTTTTGGGTCCAGTGAACCTTTTTCAGAAGCTTAATTTGCATTCTTGCCCACTCCCA